AATGACTTTATTCCCGTTTTATCTGTGTCTCAGCTCGCATGCAACTGAGTTTTTCTCGCCAAAAATCATGCAAATTCACAAAAAGCCTGCACCAGATGAATCTTCTAGAAGAGCTCGTAAAACAACATTGGGTTTAACGACATCGAATTCCCTCATAATCGATGAAGAGAAGGGAATCTGTTTAATACATTCTAACAATAGGAAATTTCACTGTTATCCACTGCGACTTCTCTGGAAGCGCAAACGCACCCTCGTAAGAATTCTTGCCCATAAATGTAAATGTGGCAGAGCTAATAGATCCAACGATTTAGTTCTTCATTTTGAGCAAAACAAAATTTTGGAAAGCCCTTGCTACTTAGAAACATTTATTCAAGAATTACCAAGTGGTTCCAACGCTCAACAGGAAAGTATACGACTTCAAAGATCGAAATATTCCCATTCAGCTGATTAATTGCAATTTAAACCTACTTTCTTAAATTTTGGTATAATATACCTTTAAAACATTACAAAACTTCTGAACTTCAGCTCTAAGCAGTTCTGTATTAATCCTGCCAGACACGAGGGGAAGAGCCTTCACACCTGGATTTAAGTTAATGGGATGTTAGTAAAACACGTGAGCTAAAACTGAGCTAGTCGTAACGCGCTTTTTTTGCACAAGTTAAAAAAAAATCGCATAAAATTATTGATTTGACAAGCAACTCAGTACCTTTTGTGATAATCGGGCCACGAATGTTTTCTTCATCTGCTCATTATTCCGATCCAAAATTTGGCAGAGATCATCTTTGTCAGCTTTCCGAAGAATCACTCGCTCGTCTTTGGACCAAATTTCACACATAACTTTGACTTTTTTCACACTGCCCGAAATAATAGCAGCTCTGATTATCTGAACTGCCTTCTGGTACTGGTAGTTACTGCCCGCTTTTGATGTTGCTGAAACTGAAATTCATTTAAGAAAGAAAGAAAAAAAAAAGAAATCAAAGGCCAAAAGTCAGCGGAAACAGTAGCAGTATAAAGTAAAAAGAAATTATCAAACTTACGGGAGAAGAGGACACGCAGGAGGGTGCAAGCTGGGATCAGGCTTTTGCTGTACACTGAGCTGTCCAGTATGATATTCTTAACTTCATGATATGGATATGCCTTTCCGGCTGTAGCGTTCTTTAGCACTCTTAAAATAAAAAATATTGAATTTGGGCATGTATGCTGTTGATAGATAAATAAGTACGTTGACAGGGACCATGGCTTGTCAAAATGACTTCTGCTACAAAGCCGATTTTTCATGCAAAACAATGCCGAAAATGACTTACCCATCCAAAAGTGATTTCAACAGCTGCAACTGTCTCGTATTCAGAAGATGCGTTATCAGCATATCAACAACAAATCGGCGCACTTCATTATCACCAGAATTCTCATGGCGCATCAACTCGCCGAGACTATTTGTATCATCTGAAGCTCACTTGCACTAAGCGTAAATAATCTATTTTTCACCAAAATTTTATTTTTTTATCGAAAAGTTAATTGTAAAGCCACAAAAAGCCGAACATAGCTGTGTTGTGCTACGAGAAACAGAGCCGGGGGATGCCGGGAGATTACAGACATTTCTAGATTTGAAAACAACCCCTCGACAATATGTTTTTTGCATTGCAAAGATGAAAAAAAAAAAAAAACGCATATAAAATGGGAAGTTAAAAAAAAAAAAACGCACTATTTGCGAGAACTACATGAAAAATCACCTTTTAAAAGCGGAACTATGAGCAGATCTCTGACGCATGCCAAATATTTTTCACCGCAAGAAGTAACTCCGGCAGAATGAAGGCACTGTGCAATCTTCAAAAAAAGTTCGGCTCTCTTCTCCTTTGCAGGATTTTTCGGCAACTGAAAAAATTTGAATGAGAAAACTGAAAAAATAGTTTGTCTAGTTCCAGCATATGTGCCCAGATTCGCTGCTGGAAGAAAAGCAAAGCATCAGGGACTGATAAAATATGCTGCAAAAAACTGGAATTGCGAAGTCACCAAATGGAATTATTACTTCGTTATAATGTTGTACCGCCACAGGAAGCTGCAAATGAGGCCTCTCTTGTATTGCTGCGAAATCTTCTGTCCCTCGGTACAGTCCAAAAAGTTCGTGAAAATGCTCCGGAAAAGTGGAGGCCAC